CCACTCTCTCTAAATCATCTCTTGTGCTTTTCAGAAATTCAGTACATCTAAAATCAAACCAGCTACTTCTAATTTCTGTACTGTAAAATTACACCACCATCGTGTATATGTAAAGGTCAATGTTTATAGGAAGAATTAGTGTCTTTTACATTGACTGTTGTGGGTAAAATAATTATACAAGCTTTCAGGTATACAAAACCTTGCTCATCTAACACAGCAGTACAAATATGACTGTAAAAAGAATTTCAGACTCACTCATAGTATTTTTTATGTATTTGCTTCTATTCTTAAGCAAGAAATAAATCTGAGTGTGTTCTTTAAACACAGAGCATAGATATCAAAAGAAAAGCCTCCATACAGGGATCTAAAACCCCATGTAGTCACTGGATTGAAATACCTATGACCAATTTGAACCTACATTATGTGAAGAAGTTGCTTTATTTTTATTTTCCAATTAAATTTCAAGCAGAAGTTGAAAAAGGAGATTGGCAGTTCCTAGGAAGACATTCCTCTTTCCTTGAACACTGTGGAGGGTAAGCCAATGATCTGTGCATGAGAAAATAGGCCAATTGGCATTGCAGAGAAGGCAAAAAAAAAAAAAAAAAAAAAAAAGAAAAAAGGAAGAAAATAAAAAATTAAATCCCACAACATCTCCAACAACTCAAAGAAGTTCATATAAAGTTGGTCTATGGACTACAATGCGGTGTAATCTCCCTGTTCTTTGACTGTGATGGCCAACCAACAGTGTATTTTGGTATGACAGTAAGGCCCAAAAAGTTGGCAACACATGAGATCTAATTTAGAGAAAACATTTGTATGCCAATTTAACCATTAGTAGGAGGTATTTACTATGTATAGTATTCACCAGGATTTCAGACAAGTTTAAGTCTGCTACTTGCAGATTTAAAAACCTATGTATACTGACTACATTCTATCATGTGACATCATGACAGTCCTGAAAACACTGAAAATAAAGCTGGATAACATATTTTGAGTAGAGGACGTGTCTTGCTAGCAGGATAATTTTGACAGGCAAAAGGAGAACCTAATATTGAAATATGTTTGGCAATCCAATTTCAACCAAGAAGTTTGTTCACCTTCTGCTACTGGAGGTGCTTTCTGTTACTGATCAAGGAAACAAGAGTGCAGTCTGAATGCAGTAAGATAGAGAACAACTTAGACAAATGGATATGTGAGAAACAGGATCAGAGAACAGGCTGGGACAAGTGGCCCAAGTGGATTCAGGAAGATCTAAGTTGCCAACTCTCTGAATGACTTTTAGAGATCCCAATCTGAAAGACAATACTCAAGAGATGAGGAAAATCATTAAGCTTCCCACAGCAAAGAGGTATCTCATAAAATGATCCTAGGTAATAGCTGGTACAGGAGACTTGTCAGAGGTATTCTAAGTATAGGAAATATTCTATAGTTTTTGTGAGTCTCTTTCTAAAAAAATTTTTTTTTCCAAATTTCAGTGATCTGGAAATTTAACATATTTCTTTGTTATAAAGATACATTGAGCATACACAGGCCATGAAAATCTTGATGAGACTCAGAGTCTGTTTCTTCATAAGTCACAAAATCAGCTTATGTCAAATTTCAAGAACAGGGTAAGAGCTCCCCCAAACAGATATTTTCCAGTAGCAAGAAGGCAGAGGTAGGAGAAGCAACCTATGGCTTCTACAAATATTTCTCACATTTGTTCAGTTCCAGATGAGAATGTTTCCAGGTGCTGTGGAGGTACAGAACTACAACACTGATGGTTTAGAAATAATATGAAACATGTTAGGGCCCAAGACCTCTTCAGAATGGCAGAAGTAAAATGAGAAAACCCTTATTTTTTAACAGGTAAATTTTCACAAAAGTGAAAGAAAACATTATCGTCAACACCTAGGTCTCTCCTGACTGGAATAGCAATGTTGATTACTTTGGAACATGGTGAAGTAAAACTGGGGAATAGGAAGTTTTAACTGCAGTAAGATAAAGGGATAAAGAATAATGCCCTATGATAATTGCTTTTTTATCCTTTCTACTGTAATTTTATATAGAATTGTTTTAGGAAAAAAAAAAGTTCTTAGGACTGGTGGTGTTTTCAGAATAGATTTTTAAATACAAGCTATTTGTCTGTGTCTTAGATATTTCAAAATTAATAACATTAGAAGGGTAGAACACTTACTTCAAAGAAAGTGCCAAATATTTTATTTCCTTGCACAGGACATAAAGACAGAACAAAAAGCAAGTTCCCGTGCATTCTTCCTCAGGTTTTTCACGTACATAATTATAAACAGTTTTGGTGAAGCCTTTGATCTGTAGCAGTTTAAAACAGATTCTCTAAAAACAAGCTTCTGAATCCACTGGAAGAGATGAATGAACCAAAAAAGTATCAGAAGCTCTGAGGGCCAAGCCACTGCTGATTTCACGTCACTACAAAACTTGTCACTTGAAAACAAACAGTTAAAAATATGAATCATTGTATCTAAACCTCAAATGTCCACAACAAAACACTCCACTGGAATTGTATCAGCTTCAAAAAGCTAAACAACAACCAGCAAAGTAAAGGAACCCCATTTTATCCTGTCAGCTCTTTCCAAAAATGTATTAGGTTGCTTACTTATTTAGTGTCTCCAAAGCATCAGTGGTTTCTTTAAAGTCATGGTCTCCACGAAAGGTACAAAGTCTATAATTTCATTTAAATTCAGGATAAAATTCAGTAAAAATTTAGAAATTCTACTACTTTTTCATTTCCTACTATTTAAAATTAAGATATATTTTTGCCTAAACTGTATTGTACAGTAACAACAAACAGTACTGATGTTAACAAGACTTCTACAGAGGACACACTATAATATGTTTCTAGCTCCTTACAGACCTCATACTTTCAATACATCTCATTTTCCAAAGCTGTTTTTTAACTGGATCAACAAACCATCAACAGTCATGAAGTATCTATAGCATTATCTAGGGGAATTTTCTATTGAACTTGCCGTTCTATGGTTACATAATACAGAATAGGCCTCCTAAGAAATACTGGAATTCAGACCTTCTACACTAACACTGGAAAAATAAGGACAAAAAATAATATTAAGGCTTCACTGGGTGTGTTAATCTACTGGGAAATGCTGTAAAATACAAAAAAAAATACTGTTTATATTGAAGGCACCTATTTTGATACATTACACTGCTTTCAATACACCAGGGCTTTTACCCTTGCAGTTAGTACTAAAATGTAAAGAAAAATACCACTGTTGTTCTTTCTTTACAATGTTTATAGTTGAAAAAAAGTTGACTTAATATATTCATTGTTTTTTCTGGCTTCATAACTTCTAAAACATCTATTTCAAAATCAACAGAAACAGAAATTACATAAAGCAACTTGAGCCTATGTCCCTATTAATGGAAAAATTTAACTAGTTGATTAGCTAGGGAAATTCCTGTCCCTTTCCTCCTTAACACATGCACATCTTAAAGCTAGATAATACTATAACCTTCACATGTTTTTTTAAATTTTATTTTCCAGGTGAATTTAGTATTTGACATGGCTCCAACATAGATGATATCGCAGGCATCAGTTGTTGGACTGACTGTGGAAATAAGTACTGTTCACATGCATCAATTACTTGCAAGATTATACAGAAAGGGTACATTCTTCAAGGAGAAAATTGCTCCTTTTCTTCATCTGCTTTTTGTATTCGACAGCTACCTCTGTATTCTACAAACTGTTCTTCACAGCTTTCGAACATTCCCAGCCTTTAAACTGTGAAAAGCTCTGATGATGTAGGCCAAAAGCAAGCTGTGTACCCTTAACAGACAGAGGCACCAGGAGATGGCCCACCTCAAATGTCACTTCCTGCCACTAAAGATATGTCCTCAATGGTAACAACATTGGGGCTTACAATAATGGCTTTCAACTTCTGTGGGAAGCAATTTCTGAATCATATGTGAAAGTCAAATGTGAGCCTTGACACGTCTATCAGGAAGGAAAAATTACATTTTACTATAGGAAAAACCATTCTCTGTATACATTAACCAAAAGTATACAAACGTTAAAGAATTTCTTTACGCCATCTCAATCATGAACTTATTTGCCAAGCATTACAAGGCAAATTGCTTTTGTAATTTTAGTTCTTTAGAATACAGCATAGAGTTTGATGGAAAAACAGATTTACATTAGCTCATGTATTTTTCTCAATTCTGTTATTTAAAACCAATTACACTCATTTGGTAAAAAATACTGAAACATATCCATGCTTATTCCCAAATTCAGATTTATACTACCGTTTTAAACCTTGCTAAAATAAAAGATTAAAATATTTCCTGTATGTGTATTATTATCAAGACAAACAGAATGTCAGTGACATGCATAATGTTTAACATTGTTTCAACATTATGCTGAATACAATATGTGCACTATATTTTAGGAAAGCCTACAAACCAGTTTGGAAAATAATTTATGTTAATGCATAACTCTATGACATTTCTGGCATATTCCTAAACGTTTAGGATAGATATGTTTTCTTAATATATATAGGTATTGTCATTGACAGTCAGAACTGAACTACCATGCCAAAAAAATTACAACCTAAAATGTTGAGAGCATACATATCAGTGATACAGAGTGGAAAAAACATTATGATCACTTTATGCCACTTCAACAAGAATGCAAATCAATTTTATCAAAGAAATACCTATGACACAAATGACATTAAACTTTTTTAAGCTGTGCACATATATTGCAAAAGCAAAGGAAATGCAGGGGCATGCTCACAAAAGCTGCAAACAGAGAGGAATATCATGCATACTGTTCACAACAACTCACAGGTTATTAGTAAGCTATTTGAAAAACAGTTAAGCCTTTTATGCCAAGCATTGCTTTCATTTTAATGACAGTAATTCCCCTTGCCTTCAGTAGGAATTACACCTGTGTAAATGAGAGCAAATGTAGGGCAGGAAATAAGTCAACCATAAAAGAAAAGAACTTTAAACAGAAAAAAGGCTCTAACCACTTTGTCCTCCTGGAGTTCATATCCACGAAAGCAAGAAAGAAAGGACAGGGGGAAAAAAAACACACAAATAAGGAAAGAATCACATCCATTTTGAAAGTAAGTACTAGAATTTTTTAGTAAGATAAATAAATATCAAAGTAATATATATCTTTCTTATTTTCCCTAGTAGTGAAAGAGATATGGTAAAAATAAGTAATTTTAATAATTTTCATTATCTTTTCATGAGTGAAATTGAAACTATTTTATAATAATAAAAAATTTTACAAAAAATGTTCAAAGGGAATTATTTTCATAATTTGGGAGTCATGCCTTAATAATCTTCACAAAAGAATGGGTAATCCCATCAAAAGGATGCAGCATTTAGCTCACACCTTGGACCCTAGTACTGCAAATGATTAGCATTCATCAATGCTTTGCACTTGCACAGTTCAGTGAAATTAAGAATGTTTACTACAGACAAATAAAGGGCACTCAAATGGGAAAACCGCATGTTAGTCACTCAAGAGATTTTTAAAATTCTGGAGTTATAAAGCATAAGGAGACAGAGTGTCACAAGTGTTTACTGCATGTCATGCCAGGTTTATAACACATATAATTTCTTTTTCATACCCATCAATATTAAATACAAACATTCTATTTCTTATTTTCCTTGAAGAAATTTTCTTTTTAGCTCTAAAATTGCAAATAGAATACTTTAGAAAAATAATATTCAAAATATTCAAAATATTTTCAGTCAAAAATATTTGCTCTTTTACTCAACGAAGAATGATGGTTTTTATTTGGTATTTTAATTTCACATGCCAATACAGAGACTAAATCTAGGCACTTGCTTAAGAATTGGCTGTGCTAGGAATACAACTACTTGCCAAAATAGGGTGACAATTAATTTTATAGATTTGTTGTTCTGATACCTGTATGAAATGCAACTTTATAACATGTAACTCTTAGAGAAGGCTTAGGTTTCCTCCAATCCTAAAGTTACAAACAAACAGGAGAGAATACAACAGAGGCCAAACAAGACAGGCAATAAAACAAAAAAAATATAAGAAGCTAAGGGAGATAGGCTTGTTTAGCCTAAAGAAGGCTGGGATAGGGAAGGATGTGGAAAGACAGGAATTACTTGCATCCCTCAACTATTTGAAGTTTAGCTATAAGAAACACAAAGACAGAATTCTCTTGAAGATGCACAGGTAATAAACAAAATGTAACAATTAAGGGATTGTACTGCATGTAACAAAAAAAGAAAATCAAAAGAGTTGTTAATCACTGAAAGAGATTGTCCAGTGGGGTTAGGGATTCACTCTCCTAGGAGGTTTTTACAACTCAGTTGAACAAGATCCTAAAAACCTCATCTGACTTTGAAGTTAATCCCGCATGGAACAGGAGATTGATCTGGAAAAACCTCCACAGGTCCCATCTGACCCAGTTTATTCTATGATCCTATGTTCAGTGGCAAAAGATCAAAGTATTTTAAAGATGCTATGGGTTTTAGTGATATTCTCAGTTATAGAAATAGTAAATAGCACAGGAAGCTATCTAAATCACAGGACATCCATGCATTATCACTCTGTGTGCAGAGACATATTTTTCTGCTCAGTACCAGGTGGCCTCATACTTTCCTAGCATGGTTTCCTGTCCCACTGCAGTAAGAAAGAAAGTAGACATTCAGAGACATTTTATATGGGAACAACGATTTCCATAGCCTTGATTTCTTATCCTCATTTCTGAAGAAATACGCTCCACTATCCAAGACAATTACAGTCCATAAGTATAATTCATAATACTGTCATTCATACTTTGATCGTAACAGTAACCAAGACTTAACTCACACTATCAGCCTATGTTGAATAATGCCCAGGATGAAGAAGCTTTTTTCAGAAACAAGCTACAAAATATAAAGATATGTGAAGTTCAAGACACACCACCACTCTTTACCAAACACCAAGGACTTCCTCCAGCCTCTCAGCTTCCTCCACACACACTGTCAAACATTTTTGAGTTCACAGCAATACACTGAAAGCAATGACATGACTGACAACATGAAAGACAGCCTAGTCAGGCATTTCAATAGCAAAGACATTAGAGAAATCATTCAATTCTGTTTTCAAAGAACAGGGGTATTTGTCCTGCTCCACATGAAAATACAGGTATATTTTAACAGCAGTTATAAGGAAAAAGGCCTTATCTACATGAATATTCAGATGTCTTAACTATCATAGATGTTCCTATGGCATTAATACTGGTCCAATATAATCAAGACCAGATTTAAGATTGAAAGTCTTCAACACATCTGGTAATACAAATACTATTCTATCCATGGGAAGACTGAGATGTGAAATTCATCCTAATGAGAAACATAACTTTTAAACTCTCCAATTGTTAATTTTCAACTTCTGAATAAGAAGTGGAATGTCTTTGGAATAATTTACCACTGACTTTCTTTTTTTTCCAGAGACACTTGTTCTCCAGAAAGATGAATACAGTTGCAGGTTATCAGCTTTTACAGGAGTTACATGGATTAAACTGAAAAGAAAAAACACACAAACTGTTTAGAGGAACTCTTTCCTCATGTTTAGAGTGTTATGCATCTTTTGTAGAGAAATGGAAAGTCAAACCACATCTCTTAAAGACCAACTTACTTGTATGCAATAACAAATCATGGAATTTATTCCAAATCCTACTGACTTAGAAAACCTGGTTGTGACAGACTAATTCTTCAGTGCTTGCTAATTCTCAACAGAATGAAAGGATTATGCATTACCACAAGTATGCTACAATTTCGTTTTGCAACTCCATACAGATCACATTGCAAGTTCAGCAGTTAGAATCACTCAGCAAAGAGAACTTGAACGTTTTTTTCAAAATCAAACAACCCCATGGAAATAATCAGAATTCAAAGCTTGCACTGAACCAGGGGAACTGAGAGAAGTTCCCTATTACACCTATTGTGTTTCTCATGTTGGTTTTGGGTCCTATAAAACAACTAAAAATGTCTTACTTTTGTTCTTCAAAGACAAAGAAAGAAGGATGTTTCAGTGGCTCCAAGTGATAGTAAGTTGCCAAATACTCTGAAAGAAGGTATTCAGCATGCATTAACTTTCCAGTCAAACATTTTTCCTTTCTGTTCAAGTAAAATGTTGGTTTAGTGAATTGCCATTCTGAGGTGCTAAAAGTGATATTCGCTGCATGCAATATTGTATCAAATCTGGAGGCTGCATTTTTCCAAAATTTTAGCATTTAGATTTCTCACCTGTATAAACCTCATTCTGCTGTCAACTGACTCATTCAATGTGCATTTCCCTATATAAATTAGTATATAATAAAAGAAAAAAGAACAGGAGTATATTTTATATATCAGTGATACTCTTATTACTAAGAACTATTACTTCTTGCTCTCACGTGATTTATTCTTTAAATTTTAATCAATCTGGAACTGTTCATAAACATAAAAAATGACTGTTCAAGGTTTTTTTACTCCCTTGAAATTTAATCCCCATTTAGCTAAATATACCATTCACCAAGATAACAAATTGTACAGAAGAAGTGCTACCATTATCATTTTTGTTTGTTTGAGCTAGAAGGAACTCACACATAATGATAATTTTTGAATGTTAATGCCTATATATTTAAGTCTCTTTAATGAAACTATAAAAGGAATAAGTCATCCAAGCATTTTGAGAATCTTAATCTAATGCTCTGGCAACAGTCAAAACATTTTCACCCCCTGCTCCTATTCATGGCCATGAACCTTGTAAGCAGTAGTCAGCCTTGAGACCTTTGAAAGAGGAGTATTCTTTGCAATTCTCCATCATCTGAGGCACATGCTGCTAATACTGGTCTGTACTAAACAATTTAGGAGAATCAGAAGTAAAAGGGAGGAGTTTAGCTTGACACTTGATATTATGAAGATCTCAAAAACATCCACCAAGGAACATTTCAGACAGTATAAGTATCACCTTATGTAAGGTCCAAACCAGATATATATATAGATATATAGATATATATATGTAATGTGTCAAAAAATGTCTACAAAGACCAAAAAAAAGCATATTTAAAATAGGAAGTTATTAGAAGTCATCCTTCAAGAAACTGAAGTTGTATTCAGAAGAGAGATACTAATGAATTCTGGTAAACCAAAATAGTTTTAATGGAATAATCAGTGTAAGCATAAAGCAGGGCATAAACAGGAGACTGCCACAATCTTTCTCAATTAGATAATTTTTGTTCCTATTCACAGTGATTAGGAAGGTATTTACTTGAGAATATTTTATGCAGAATAAACTGGACAACATACTTTGAACTAATGTTTCAGAAAGAAAAGCTTTAAAGTGAGTTAACAAAATAAACCCATATTTTTAAAATGAAACTATAGTGTAAAACATCTCCAATCTAAAATAATTATTAGCTGTAGTACACTCTTTCATTGATAAAAAGTATAAAATTTGGCAAAAATTCAAATATATTTTTAAGAAATTTCAACATTATATCAATTGAAGAATAGACAAAGGAGTCTGGCATCCACATTGAACAGATTTTAGAAACTAAAATACACAATAAAATTAGAAAGCATGTTAATAAATGATGATAAAATGTAGAGAAGTCAGAATGGCTTTAGTAGAGGGAATTCACATCTGTTACATGTATTAGAATTCTTTCAAGTAGTCACAGAGAAAATGAGAAAATAGGATTTATTCCTACTGCTCAGTTGGGATTACAGGCTTTTAAAGAATCTCAGCTTTCATGAAACAAGAATAAACTAATCCATGAGAAAACTTAATGAAAGGACAAGAAGAAAAAAACAGGAATAAATGATCCAGCATTTTTGAAGAGAAAGTTTCCACAGCAACGCCTCACAGGAGATCAGTCTAGAGATACTCTGTTCACCTTATTCATAAATTATCGAGAACAAAAATGAATGAGGCGCAGGAAAGCTTGCACTAAATTATCAAAAGTAATAGAAGAAAATGCCAGCTGAGAAGTGTTGCAGAACAGTCGCAGACTGAATGGAGAAGTTGACTTGCTGAAAGACAGATTTAGGTTAGACAGCAAGAAAAGCTATCTGTGGTGAGCATGGTGAAGCAGTAGAATTACCTAAGACTCTAAGGAAGAATCTCATTGGAAATCTGTCAAGAGAAGTCAGACATGTATCTATCTGTCAAGTTCAAATGATCCATCTCAAGGAGAATCTAAATGGTGTATCAGAATGTGCCATTAGGAAATGAAGCATTCTTCCTAATGCTATGTTTCTAAGGATGTAGGCATAATGACTCAAATATCTGTCCTAATTAGCTTTTGTAATCAGATGAAATGAATACAGAAATTATCTCTCTTATTACTAGCAACATGATTTAGTCAGCTATAAAAAAAACAAATAAAATATGTAAACCTACTGAAAGCAGCATTTTTAAGTTACCTTACTGAAAGTCTAGGCAATTTGACACATTTACACATAATCTCAGTTACTTTAATTATCAGGAACTATTATTAAATTATTATATTTTTTATTATCATATACTTCGCTAATCAAAAACTTCAGTCCATTATTTAAACCTACTTTTCAGTCTTAGGCCAAGAAATACATAGTATGCATACTATTGTCTCCTACCTCACAAAAGACAATATTTACCAATTGCATGGTATTTGCAATGAAAAAAACTGATTTATGTAAATAAATTACATTAAAATATTACATGAATAAACGATAAAATGGTATTGTTTACAAAATACATATTTTCGACAAAGACTAACATAATACTTCTTGAATATTGCCATATGTCTTTTACAAGTATCTGTCAGAATCTGATAAAGATTCTGAACATTTTATCCAAAATGTTGAGTACAATGATCTTAAAAGAGTTTTCTGTGATTACGTCTGTTGTGCTGAATTTTTTACTCTATCCTTCAGCTTTTTTAAAAATTCAGATAGCCGGTTTATCACTTGTTATACAATAAACACCAGCATACACAGAACAATATATGTTAGTGCATTTAATTATTTCCCAGAAATACGTTAACATTTGCATGTGTATGCACATATAAATATGCACAATAAGTGTGGATATGTACAATAGCTAATAAATATTTTAAAGCACAATATTATATTATATAAAATGTTCTAACACTGGTTTTACAATAATCTTGCACAGAAGAGCCTAGGCAAGCAGGAAAGAAACAAATCCTTGCTCTACTTTGTAATAATAAATATCTCAATATTAGTATCACTAGATCACTAGATATACTTCTGTTTTTCAGAGACTCATCCTCCAATCAAAGAAATATACTTGTATGAGTTTGTTAGTCAAAAAAGGATATGTATTAACTTAAAAGCCATAATCACAAATTCATATGCAATTGGAAATTACATGAAATTAGGACAGATATCTCAAAAGCCCCTGGAGCAGATTTCTCCTTAAAGGAAATCAGTTTCAGTAGTTATGTGATTTGGATTCATAAGCAGTGAGTAAGAGATCTTGAGATTAGGAGAAGCCTGCTGTTAACTCTGATAGCTCCATACCTTATTGGACCGCAGAGACACTCTCCCTCCGCAGCGTGCACAGAATTTCGTTTGGCAATAGGAACAGTTATGGCCACAGCCATCAGCAAATTTGGTTTTGTGGCAAATGCCACAGGTTGGGGCATCACCCTTCTGCTCCTGGTGCTGCTGTGATTCTTCACCCATCTTCTTAACTTGCTCCTTATACATCTCAAACTGCTGATGTAATTTTCTGCGGAAGAGAAGAGATCATTAGTTGTTGTTTGTTTTTTCCCCACAAATACTTCACAGTCACTAAATTGTAATAATTTTTACAAATCAGAGAGAGATACTGTAGTAAAACAAATATATTTAATTTATGATGCTCCAGAAGTATTACATTCAAGAATTATTTCTTTTTCACTATAACTAAACTCTAGGAGGAAGCTCAACGTTGATAACATTGAGCTCACAATCCAGCTGTTACAAAGAGATGTAACTTTGCTTTAGGATGGGACCAGATATTTGCTACAAATGAACAGTTGGAAACATAGGAAAAGTGATCCAAGAGCCCATGGTGCTAAACAATAAACTGGCAATGAGGAAGAAAAAAAATTCTAATTCATTCTTTAAAGTATACTTTTACCTAATTCCACCAGTCAGATGGAAATATCTTTTCTTGATCTGGTTTATCTTCATCTATCTAACAATACTGCATAGAATAATGATTCCAAAATGGTTTTTCACTGACTTTTCAAGAATTGGATTTAAGCCCATAATAAGTTACATTATCTTAACAAGTTATTCTAAATCATTTAAGCCACATATCATTGGATAGAAACTGTCATCTCATGTAAAATGTAAAGTAGAAGACAGGTGTAAAACCCAGGAAAAATTGCTTAAGATACACACATACATTTACCATCTATTTCCAGAACTAGAAACAAATGCAGTCAGTGGCCATGAGTGTCCAGAACTGCAAAGTTAATTCATCATGTTAATTCATCCATACTTCTGAGTCTACAGTCATCAAATCTCAATATATGATAATGGGAAGTGTCTCATGCTGACTAAACCTACAGACACATTTGGTGCTTTATAATGGCAGTTCTTCCCAAAAGCCCTGTTTCTAAAGGTAAATGATGTCATGGGAAATTTAATTTTCATTATACATAGCCATAATATTTTTGTTTTTGTAGATTCTGAAAAAGATGAGAAGGGTGACATTGCATATCATGAGAGTTTCAAACCCATTGAGGAAAAAAAAAAGAACTTTGACTTTTCTCTTTTTTTATCATTGTGGTTTAAAGGTGATATTTAAATTATTAGCATGGAATTCAACTTGCCTAATTTTGCAATTGAGATTGTAAAGTTTAGTAAATTAGAAGTTATTAATTTAATTTCAGCAGATTTTAAAGTTCCTTGAATATGTTCAGGCAAAACCCAAAAAATTAAGCACTTTTTATGAAACATTGAATAGGTAACATAAGACAAAAAAATAAAATTGCAAAAGGCATTCATTTTTCCTTAGAATTATTCTTCTTGAGAATCTTGAGATTAAGTTAATAAAAAAGCACACATGGATCATAAGATAGAACAAAAAATAACTTTCTAACTAAATCCAGGATACCAACTTCCTTAAGTGTAAAGTATATAGATCACATATAAATTAATGATGCAAAACTATTTCATTAGAATTTTCAGAGGCACCTACCAAAACAAATATTACACAAGTCAGTTAAAAATTAATTTAAGCAGTTATTTACTGTGGATATTCACATATATGGCAAGAATTGCTGGGATTTACTTTATTTTTCAGGAAAACTCCCCCTGAATGTACTTTACATTAGACCACAGAGGAATTGTAGGAACAGGCAGGCAGCTCCCTCTCTCCAGCAGGAAGGACAGGAGGCTGAAGTCGTGCCTCTCCTCCGTACTAACCTGCTGCCACCAACCCTTTCCCAGGCAGAGGGAAAGAGGGATACTTCATTTGTTTATGTCTCTTTTTTCTGTGTACCTGCTCTTGTCACTTCAAGACCAGTCCTGAGTCCATGGGTTGTCCTCAGGTCCAGCAGTGTGGATTCCCAACAGCAATGGCTCAGTTTTCCCTTGCTTTCCACCCTGTCCCACCCGCACCAGCAGGGAAAGGGGCTCATCTGAGACCTCTGCAGGAGGGATGGCAGAGTTGGCATTGCCCTAAAAGCCATTTGGGCAGTCAGGAATAAGGGGCTTCCTCTGCCTTCTCCTTGCTGTTGGGAAGGATGAATAAATATAATTGCCTGGCAAAAGATTCACAATAGTACAGCCAGGATGAAAAAAATCCCCCCTACTGGTTGAACAATGCCCCTACCTACAGATAGGTCCAAAAGTCAAATGGACTGTTCTATCTCACCCCCCAAAATGTAGGGTTCATCCCACACCTGTAACCCTCCCCTGAAGCATCAGGTGTCTGTAACCCCATTGGCCCAAGCCTTGTTCCAGCCCACCTTGAGGCCCCCTGATAAGGGGTTCCAAGGGGCCAGACGCCCTCTTGGAACTTCCCCTCTCTTGGAATCCCCACCCTCTTGTATCTTCCCCCTCTTGGAACTCCCAGCCTCTCCTAGAGCATCCTCTCTACCCCTCGTCTCTCCCCTCCCCCATCCCCTCAAGCCTTGCCACGTGCTGCATCTGGCAGCTCCAAGCAAGACCTTTCCCCATCCCTAATAAACCTGATATCCCAAGAGCAGCCTTCAGAGATCTCTCATCTCCATTCATCAAAGCCATCCAGGAGCCCAGCCTTCCCTACACCTTGCTTCAGAGCTTACTGTTGAGTGCTCTTTGTTGAATGGGGCAGGACACGAGTTACTAATAAGAAAGAGCTGAATGAAGTTGAAAAAAAAATTGGAAGTCTGGAAACCTGGCCCATTTCAGCATTTTACACTGACAACACTATATAATTGGTAGTTGGTAGTCTGGCCTGTTTCCATCAATAACACATGTAATCTCTGAGACCTTGCCTGCCTTTTAATTTTGCTTAACACTGCATTCTTCATTTAAAGCATATTATCTATGCTGAACTCCAAGTTTATTTTTAGGCTGCATTCAGTTTTGTGACTTCCTTATAATCTACAGCCTTTGTTTGTATGATTACTTGCTTACCAGTCTCACTGATGCATAAAAAGCACAAGGCTTTTGCCAAATCTTAAGCCTCATGTACTAAAATAATTTCACTTTTGTTTCCTCTTGGGCACAAGAATCTATGTAAAGGTCATAACTTTTCCTTTAAAGTATAAACTTTCCAAGGTTATACAGAGTAGTTTTCAAAAAAAAATAAAAACCACGTTGTTTTAGTAGGAAACACATCATCAGCCAAAATTGTTATTACATCTTTTTCTGTTTTGAGAAAAATATTACATGTATTGATAGCTGTCAGAAAAAATTAAACAGAGAAGACAAGACTCTACGAAATATTCAGTTAGACACAATATGTGTTCTATTTACTAAGTAGAACCACCTGAGATGAATATGCATACTTGAAACAAAATATAGAGTATTCATTTTAGGAATTTCACTTTAAAAATTTTTATCTACTTTGTAGATAAATAATTATTTTTTTTTATTATCTACCCTGCATGGGTTTAAGCCAAAATTTAAGCTAAAATCACACATCAATAAATAGGTGTTTAGAAAACACATTTAGCAGAAACTTTATAATGTATACTTTTCAGAAAACATAATACAAAATAATTCCATTTTGTTCAAGCTGTCTGCATTCATTGCTGCCTGAAGGGCCTGGAAGTTCAGTTACTAGGGAAATTAACATAACCAGTACCAAGGCAAACTTCAGAGACTGAAACCAAATTCAAGTATCCCAAGACTACAATTTCCAGTCCCGCTATCCAGTGAGTTACTCTGCTAATGCATGAGGTCAAGAGCCATCCAGGATAGTTTAGGTTGGATTAGACTTTTAAGATCATTGAGTCCAACTGTTCACCCAGCACTGTCAAGGTCATTGCTGATCTATGTCCCCAAATGCCACATCCACACATCTTTTAAATATCTCCAAGGATGGTGGCTCAAACACGTCCCTGAAAAGCCTGTTCCAAGAGAAAGAAAACCCATTTCCATGAAGCATTTTTTCTTAATATCCAATCTACACCTCCCCTAGTGCAACTAGAGGCCATTTCCTCTCATCCTACCACTGGTCACCTGAGACAAGAGCCTGACCCACACATGGCTGCGCCCTCCTTTCAGGCAGTTGTAGAGAGCAATAAGGTCATCCCTGAGCTTCTTTTTCTCCAGGCTAAACATCCCCTGCACCTTCAGCTGCTCCTCATGGGACTCCCGACCTTTCACCAAATTCATTACCCTTCTCTGGACACACTTTACCACCTCAATGTGTTTCTAGTACTGAAAAAATGGATTCTGCCCAAGAGTTACATTTTGGGCCAAAATTTTATCCACAATGAAAAGCCTTGTTTTTAGACATGATAGGGACTTTTTTTTTGTTTGTAAATCTAGATAGTTATATTAAATCATAATTAACAGATTATTTAAGTAGAAAAATCATAACTGCATATCCATGACCCTTATATAAATGTATTTTGGCAATGGCCCCTGTAGCACATGCCATCTATCTGTACTGATGCAAAGCCTCACTCCTTTACTACATTTGTTTCAAAAATATAAATATGTACTTTAACAACTGCTATAAATTTTAGAGGAAAAGGAGAAGCTGGCATGAGTTTACACAAACACCTAATGATACTGAAAATTTAGTCTAGGAAATTGGTAATTAAGTTCTATTCTTGTGAGAATTACTTCCCTGAATCACCCTTGTATCAGCTGGAAATTACAGAGATGAAGTTCATGAGGCTTGTATGACAAGAAATGTTTGGTTTTTTTTTTAAATAACATATTCAAGATGACTTCGTAGAAGACATCTCAGTGTGAAAAACAACTGTTTGTAAGAATTTGGATTGCTCTGCCAGTGTCAAGATATAGTTTGTTTTGGAATACTTGCTTTTTTCTGGTACAGAGTTAATTCTGCTTTTCCTGATTGCCCACACTTTTCCAGGAATGGAAAATTCAATATCAGTCAAAAAGCAGCAAAATGTGAGTCTCTCCTGATCCATGCCAAAGGCAAGTAAAAAATTCAAGTTTGTTATTGGCATTTTATTACCATACAGAAGTTTTAATTTTCTCCTCCACTCCAGAAATATCCCTAAAATTTTCAACATTTTACCAAAACTAAAAAAAACTACTGACAAGAAG